ATTTTATGACGATGGTAGCTAATGTCGAATAATTGATTACAAGTTTTTCATACTCTTGCACAGGCGATGCTAATCAAAACGCTATTAGCCATTTTCTTATGAATGACTAGATTTATTATTAAAGAACTGATGATAATATAGCATACTGAAATCTTTCTCACCTCAGCATGGTAATTATAAGAGGCTTAGTTTTGAGTAGAATCCTCATCTGCCCTGTGACCTACTGGGACCTGACATCCATTGATTTTTACTGAGCGGATTTAGCACTACTTTTTCAAAGTAGAAACTTACTTAAATCGAAAATCAACCTTTTAAATAAATTTTATACTTGATTCTTAATATCTGTTCGCCTCCAGCCCATATTATCAGTCTATAGGGTCCCATCTTGGGTCCGATGTTAAGTGTTAGATAATATTTAGTATATACTTTATTTGAAACCCGTTTTCCTTGGTTTTCCACAATAGTATTAACCAATAAGTGGGACATGGTTGGGTGATATCGACATGAATTAATGATTTAGAAGATGCAGCTAGGCATTTATGCAAAAGAAAACTACTTTTTCTTATCTCTTCGCTCTGTTTCAGATTGTAGTCTTCACGTCTTAGTGCTCTCATTGAGCTTGGGGTTACAAACCATCCATTCACAGAATTTTCTGCCAAGACACGAAAGTATTCAGCCGCATCAGGCGTCCCGACGGGTTTGCCCTGTTGGTAAGGGAAGGTAATTCTTTAAAGTGACTTTAGGATCAAAAAAAAATTAATTGTTAAGTAGAACTAAAAATGATTACTGGTCATAAGTTGATACAATAAGGAAAAAGATTGAAATCGCATAACTCATTTGCAACAATTTTTTTAAATGAAGAATTATTACCTAGGCAAATCTATATAAGCTCAATTAATTATCATTTCTGCCATGCTCAACATTTGCATGTTAAATTAGATGGAGTTTTCACCTAAAAGTTTGGTTGAGAAGCATCCTAAAATGGCCAACTAGGATTCCGAAAAAAACATTGGTTAGTTGGTAAGGTTGTTGAAGTATGGAGAAAAGGCTATCTGAACTTTAATGACATCGCGAGTCCGAATAATTTAATGGAGTTACAATTCAGTTATCAATCTTCAAATCATCTTAGGCGACCCAGGATGTTTAGACCCTTAGTTAATTACAATTTATATATTCAAAAACGA